ATTTTATCTTCTTGCATCAGAGTTATTTCCAAATTGATGTGACTCAGGCATAGGAAACACATTTTTATTCTGATTTTATTCCTAAACTGTTTTTCCTATACTTTTCAATTACATCTGACCATTGATTTGGGATCACCAAAGTTTCTCCCACAAAATGCAGAGCAGAAGAGGGTCAGGGACTTTGGAGTTAACTGGAGCCCGCAAGGGGAGTGGCAAAGCTTAGTAAGTAGGGGTCACAGTGTGGCCTGGGCCTCAGGCAGGGAGGTGTTACTTTGTTCTTTCTTGTTCACCTTCCTTCTAGAACAACTTCAGCAGCCATGTGAAAAGTACAGAGCAAGCCTATCCTAGGGCCAAGGGCAGGACTGTGGTTGTCTTTATGTCATATTTGAATGCACATGGACACCCTACCTTGGGGTGAGAGCCTCTCCTTGAGAAATGCTTCATGTATTTGCTAACATCCTAAACCCCTGGAAACAGCATTCTCTTTAACACCTCCTTCTTGTGTGTGCTGCTGTTTCTTTAGACTATTTCTTCATTCTGGAGCTGCTTTGCATGCAAGTGATACAAGTGAAAGATCAATTCCCACACTTCCAAGGCAGTAGGACTGTAAAGTTTTCACACTCTTAAATGTGAGGACCAACCTATCTGAAAAAGAAGCATTGTCAAATGTTTATTTTTTCCTCTGCAGTTAGAATTAACACGAGACAAAATAAAGTGACATAATTATTTGCTTCGCATTATTGAAAATAACTGGAATTCAGAAATTAGTTTATGACTTTAGATGAAGCACTAAGATTGTAATATTCTGGGACTGCCGCTCTACTAGAAAACTATTCATACTCTTTCAACTTTTATTATTATGTAATTTATCAAGGAATCTTTTTACTTCCTATTGGAATGTATGAATGCATTAAACCAACAAGAAATTTACAAAGAAAGGATTGGACCATAATTTAAAAAGTATTTGATAAGATGAACACACACATATTGGAGAAGGGAAAGATCAATGTGGACTGGAGTTATCAGCAAAGTTGATAGAGAAAGAAAGCCTTGAGATGTGTCTTAAGAAATAGATTTTGAACTATATCTTAAAATGGAAGACAAGTGTCAGAGTTGTAAGGAGAAGGTGAAAGGGTGTACTTCTGTGCTAAAGTAACCCCACACATACTTATGGAGGCTATTGAAAAGAAAATGCAGAAATATTTGGATCAAAATAGATATTCTCTATGAATACTGATGCTTTTTTACTGATTGTTCCAGTGGAAATTACATGTGATATACATCAATCTTCTTTCTTAAGCACCCTTTATAATAGCTAGGATGGAAAAATCTGACTTTCCCATAAATATTTTCCTTAGGTAGTGGCCCCTATTTATGTTTCTCATTCTTTATTGTTTATTTCTTGCATGGCATGGATTTGTCATTTGTACTTAATAATAAAATAGAATTACGTGTTCTGGCTTTTAAGTCTGGTTACTTTCATTATTAGGCAGCTCATATTATCCTTGTAAGTCTCATTTACCTCATCTGTAAAGTAAAAGGGTTGAATCAGATGATATATTGGGTCCTGTTTAGTGCTGATATTTTATGGCTCATGATTCCAAGTGAGACAACACCTGGTCATAAGGTCATTTGCCTGTTTTTACTAAAAAAATAATAGTAAGAACTATACACTTGCAATTTATTTAAGCCAATATAATTATAAAGTCTGTTTGTACCTTAGATAAAGTATTATGATTTTGATAAAAGTGCATTCATAAAACATAATTGTTCTGCATCTGGGTGAATCTTAACTAATTCAGAATACCAAAGGATGACATGTAGCCTAGTGTGTGATTAGACATAGTATCCTTAGACAACGTGCTTCAAAATCAAATGTGACTGTTTAATGTGAATGATGATCTTCCTGCAATGATAAAGGTCCACTGTTTTCTTTCTCTTGTGTTCAACCAGGGCCCAGAATCTGATAGATATGTTTATTGCTGCTCCTTCAGATGCCCTGCATTAGTGAACTTTCAGTGTTTATGCTGCCGAAGATACTGAGCTGAGTCCTGTTCTTCTGACTTCAAGAAGAAAACAGGGAGCTCACAGTGCGTGACCAGTGAGCAAAGACAGACAAAGCAGAGGGCTGCCACTCCAGCTGTCTCTGTTGCCCGCTCGTTGTCTCTTTCTATTACACTTGTCCTCTGAAGGACATTTGCCAGATCCTGACTCCGGGGACCCCTGTTATTTGAGTGTCTTTTCTCACCTTCATCATGATCTGCACTGATGTTTTCATTTGTTAAAAACAACAAGAACATTCACTGGGAAACTTTTTCTGGAATCGTTTCAGGTCATCATAGCTATTTATTCCCTGTCATAAACTATAATTCTCCATTTCCCTTATTCCCACATCAGGGGAGTTGGTGGTTTAGGGTGGACAGTCAGAGGAATTTGAATGAACAGTGGAAGATTAAAAAAAAAAAACTACTGGGAGATTATGTAGCAGGTTGTAGTACTAAGCACAGAATATAAAATATTCTTTTCTTGATCACAGTTTGCCTGTCCAAAAAGAAATAGGCTCATAAAACAGCATAAAAGATTTAGAATTTGTGGTTATATCTGAGAAAGAATTTTCTTCGAGAGAAGCAAACAAATCATAAGATTGGCTTAATAAGGGATTTCCTTTATATGATTAAAAGTAATGGCCCAGGCATCTAAATAGTCTAAGTTTGCAAAGTGTGGAAGTTAAGGATTTTTTAAAAAAAAATTCTGTTTAATGGGAACAAAAAATTCAGATTATGGCACTGTCTTCAAAGCCTGGAAAATCAAAGAAATCTAAAGTGAAACACATGAAGAACTGTAGATACATTCACAAAAGAGAATTGAAATAAGACAAATCTTCCAAGCATTTAGTCCGGAGGGAAATACAAATGCGAAATAACTGCTAAAAGGTACTTGATCCTAGATGTTTGAGCTCTGGTGTTGACATTATTGTTAACTAATTTTGCTAATAGCTGAATAGTGATGTGTGTTGGAAAATTTTGGGCTTGGAGAGATTCCAGAGACTATTATCTTGGCTTTATTCTCAAGATGTGGGGGTGATGTGACATTCTTAACTGAGAATGTGACCAAAATGCCATCAAAGCAGGGGTCCTAGATGAGGTACCAAGGATATGAAAAATTAAAGAGGTGCTTAATTTGAGAACAGCCACAAAACAGAATGACTGACAGCAACATCTTAGCTGGAGAAATATATTGTTCTATAGAAACTGTCTTCTGGGTGGGGGATTTGGCTCAGCAGTGCAGTGTCTGCCTGACAAGTGTGAGGTCCTGAGTTTGATTCCTGGTACCCACAAAAATAAATAAATAAATAAATAAATAAATAAATAAATTAAAATAAAATAGAAGCAGTCTTCTAAGTACTTGAGAAGTTTCATATTTCCTGTGAAAACAAACTCAACAGGCATTGTATCTTGGTGGTTTCATTACTGAAAGCAAATATGCCGTCTCTATTCTGAGCTCCCTGGGTGTTCCTGAAGAAGCACCCCTAAGGAGGAAGGGGAAAGACTCAGAGGTCTCAGCTGTTGAGCACCCAGAGATCTGGTCAATACGTTTCTGGGTTTAAGCTGCACTTTGAATCTATACATAAATCTACAACATGCTCTAATTTGTAATATTATAGCTAACATAGGTGTTGTTGTTCTTAGGACATCCTGCTTTGTGCTAGTAGCCTTGTTGAGTGTGTTGTGTATTCATTATGATCACAGAAGACTAGGAAACTACACACTGAATTAGAAATAAAAGCATGAGAACTACTTTCTTTGAAATATGGAGCAAGAGATCAAGTCCCCACTCTCCACCCACCATCCTCACTTGAACTCTTTATAATTTTGTTTGGTCTGAGCGTCTTTGGGGAGAAACTATTAGAAATTTAAGTTCAGTTCATCAGATCAACCTTCTGCTGTGCTGCTGGGCAGCTCGCTGTTGTAAATCTCTGTAAGCTACACGGGCTCCGGGGCGACTCTGGTCTTCTGTGATGATTTGGTGATGGTGTTAGCACAGCTGGTATTCCACTCAGCCTCATAATCCATCACTCCTGTCTGGGCCAGGACAAGGGCATGTTACTCTCTGACTGCCTGGCTGCCACTGGCGGGCTGAATGATTAGCTTGCCAAAATGTCTTCAAGAGAGTTCAGAGGAAATCAGGAGGGATTCTGATAGTTAAAAACTTGGATATGTGATTCTCTAAAGGTCTCTAAATTGTTAGGGCTGTAGAACTCAAGTTTGAGTGAAACTTTCAGAGATCTCAGCACTGTGTTCCTTGTTCTTGGGTTCTTATAGGGAAATTTCAAGTTAGTGTTAGCTTGAGTTGATAGTGCTGTAGTGCTAGCCCTGATCTAAACTGGAGCCTCCTGAAGCCTACCTTGGCAACAGCAGGGATACTGAAGTGAAGGCTGTTAGGAATCACTCATTGCTTCAAGAAGAATGCCTGGTAAAACAGAAAACCCTTTGATTTGGTTTGAATATGGTTTCTTCTTTGTAACTGTGCATTTTTTTCATGTATATGTTATGGAGAAAGAACCAGGAAATAGTAGGTCTGCTTTGTTATGAAACTATATAAATGAATATAAAATTGTCTGGGACACATAAGGTACAAAACAGTCTATTCTCCTTCCTCTATAGTTACCAAAATCAAAATCCAGGGAACATGTGCAAAATTCTATTCTCTTTTAGCTTTTTTGACAGAACAGGCCTCAAGGAGCACATAAGTAATGTCTCTCTGAGAGTCAGTTCCAGTCTGGTCTTATTTTTAGAAGCAACAGTCATCAGAATTCCTGAAACTATGAACTCATGAGCATCAATGCCAACATCTGAACACAAGAAGTGACAATTGGCTATGGTACTTTGATAAAGATGTGAGCATCTTTAGTAGACATGAGCAGTTACAGACAATTGCAAAAAAATGTTTTCCATGGTACCTCTAACATGAGTTGGCTCCTTATTCATTTCTTCTACTAGATGATCAGCTGAACTCAGAGGAGAAAAAGAAGAGAAAGCAACGAAGGAACAGGACAACATTCAACAGCAGTCAGCTGCAGGCTTTGGAGCGTGTCTTTGAGCGGACACACTACCCTGATGCATTTGTGAGAGAAGACCTTGCCCGCCGGGTGAACCTCACTGAAGCCAGAGTGCAGGTAACTCATGCTGAGAGCAGGCACCAAGCACTTCCTTTGCCGAAGTACATCTCTAAAGTCTTTGACAATATCAGGTGTAAGTTTCAGGTTGGAGGTAGTGTTGATGCAGGTTATAAAATGGTTAGCACAAAGACAGGCTCATTTCTAATTGTACTTTTTTGGACTGCAAAATATTTCAAAAGTCAAATCAAATCTCTTCTGCCCATCAATTTTCCTCTTCCTAATTTCTGTTTTGCATTTCTTATATCTGAGCATTTGACCCTACATTCCCAGCTTTCAATTTGAGCTTTGTGGCGATCAAAGAGACGAACTCTTCCTTGCCTCAGCCTTTGGAGATGTGCAGACCTTCCAGAAACTTGTGGTAGGCATACGTGATTGTCAGCATTGGTAGCAATGGGAGATGAACACTGAGAAACAAAATTAGGAACACATTCAAGTGAGTGACTATATATCCTCAGAGTGTCTGAAGTGAAAAAGGCAAAAGCATGTAAAATAAGATGAAGAGGGAATAGCAGTCCTCTTTAACATCCATGTCATGACATATCCACTCCAAGGTAGACATCGACAAGATTATATGTACTAAAAAAAAAAAAAAAAAAGAAAAAGACAATAGTACATCCTGTGATTACAGGTAACAGTGATAATGATAACAACACAGTAACCAACACTATCTGAGTCCTTACATGTCAGGTCATGTTGTTCTTCACATAGCTACTGAGGCACCGAAAGGTTAAAGTATTTGACAAAAATTCATATCCCTAGGAAGTGGTGGAAATAGAATGTGAGTGCAGAAGTACAGACTCAAGACAATAGACTTTGAATGCATGAGCCTCTGACCAAATGCTTTTTCCAGCAGTGCTGTTATCTCTGCAGAAAGATATCACCAGTCTTCCATATCAGCAGTGGTCACCTGCTGTTTTGAGCAGGAGGGCGGTCAAATTTGTCTTGCCTTCTTAAAGAAAGTAATGTTTGCGTATCTGTCACTTGGTGTTTGAGGGATTTCTTTTTGCAGATGATAACCTTGTAGACTGACTGGGGATCAAATTACCCCAAAGGGCTTGACTAGGGCAGGATTCAAGAGTCACAAGTTGCAGTGAACTTTGAGCAACACTCATTGAGTTTAATGGGAAGTTTGGGGGACCCTTCAGCCTGACAAAGAGAAGTGACAGAGGTTTCGCCATGCAAGCACGTGGTGAAACCTAAAAATATTCCCCCAGAGACCAGAAGAAAACTGCCAGTGACAAAAGAGAAAAGTTATCTGAGCCCCCGGGGGGGGGGTAAAGAGGAAGTGTGAATCAGGGTGGTAGAGATGCATGGGGACAGAGCTCACTTCACCCTTTCCCACTCCATCACCAGGGTAGACATCTTCCTCCAACCTTTCCACACCTGCTTCTAACCTTCTAAATCTGTTGTGGTCCCCAGAAATCACCACCTCGGCCACCGTGCAGTCATGCCTTAGGCCATGAGTAAGCCACTTTTGCCAAGGTGGTCTGAAATCTAAAGACACCTAGACAGTGGGACAGTGGAATTAAAAATGTGAAAGAGTCCTTTTTGGGTAGAGAAACGATCTACCCCTATCATAACAAGCAAATGCCTTTATTTTATAATATATGTGTATAAAATAATTTATTATATAGCATATATATTATTTTTATCTGATAATGCTAATAATTGTTCTCACTGCATACTTAGCAAAATTTCAGTGTAATTACTTTTGAATCTTTGATTTTGAAACAAAATTGGTACACACATGCTTTAATTGGTACACATACATCCTTAATATTCAAAGTTTTTCATTTCTAATAAAATATCTTATTGCTTTCTTCTAAATAGGTTTCTAAAATTCCCCTTATTTTTAGTCCCATTGTGCATTGGTATTATATTCATTTAATAATTATAGTTCTTTATCTCCAATGTTATTTTCATCTTTTTTATTTTTTGGAAAAGAGGAAAAATATTTCATAACAAAACAGTAGAGTAACAATACGTTGTCTATTGTTATGGTTAAAAGTGTTGCTCAGAGTACAAAATATGGGCATGAAAGTTTGTCTAATCAACATCAGCACAAGCTTTCTTTTCCAATGAACTGAGAGACACTAATAATACCACTGACTAGAAATTTTCTTTTCCATCTTTCCTCTTTCTCATACCTTAGTTCATTTTTCCTTTTGGACAGATTTCCACTTCACAATATCTGTTGGACCTTTTAGACCTTATTTACTCATTTAGTTTCTTGTTCCAAGGAGACAGTACAATGTTTATACAAATGAACCTGATTTATTTCGCTCAGGAGTATAATCTTGAGTTGAATCCATTTACCTATGAAAGTCTCAAGTTTTTCCTTCTTTATCCCTTGTATAAAAATACCACATTTTTTTTAATCCATTCCTCAGATGATGGGCATGTGGGTAGTTTCCAAGATTTAGTTATTACAAATTGTGTTGCTATAAAGATGGGTGCACATATATTATTATGGTATGGTGTTTTTAAATCTCCTGGGAAGATACCCAGGAGGGGTAAAATATATATATTTATATATCCATATACTATATATTATATATTGGTATATTTACTACCAATAAATAGATATCAATATAATATAATATAATATAATATAATATAATAAATTGCATATAATAATTACATGTAATTACAAATAAATATTATGCTAAAATATTGTTGAAACTATTTTTTCTTCCCCTTTTCCCACCATGCTATGTACTAACACCTTGCTTTTTTGTGTTTTCTTTTCTTTTAAAATTAAGTTTATTGGTACAATTAGATATCATAATGGTCACATTCATCAGAGGGAATTTGTACCTGTTCATAATGTATCTCAATTCCTATCTTTTTCCTATTTCCCTCCCCTCCCTTTAACCCTTCTTTGTAAGTTAGTAAGATAGACTTGTCCCTCCATGACTTGATTCTTTTTTCATGCAGTTCTACCCTTTCTCAGTCTGACTCTGTGGTTATTTCTGTTTAAAGTATTTATCAACACATGACATATATTATACTGAGTTGTTTCTGGGCTAACCTCCCCTGCTGCACAATGAAGACCATTTATGTGGTGCCCAGGATTTATTTATCTTTACAAGATTCATTTTTCTCCCTTTTCAACCTTTTTCTTTCCTCAAATACTTTTTGAGATCCTGTTTTTGATTTGCTGGTAGTGAGTAAGACATAAGCCCTCTCCTTAAGGACATTATACCTGGGGCAGAGAAGGCAGATGCATAAAACATAAAGTTTTGATATGTAAGATGATTCCTACATGAAAGTAATATCCATGAATTAGTGATAATGCAGAAGAAGGAATGGTACCATCTGCCTGGGAAAAAAAGGTACCGGGTATTTATTAAGCAGCTTTTCTGGACCAACTCTCCTAACTATCCTGTAAGTCACTATAATTATCTCAATTGATGGAAATGCAAAGGAACATAAAAATTAAACATGTATCCAAGGAAAAATCTTTAAAGTAGGATAGTCAGTGTTTTTAGACCCTGTTTTTAGACTTCATGTTTAGTAGGATAGCCAATTCTGTTAGACCTTAAAGTAATATTCCTTCCAGTTCAACACTGTACAAAGGCAGTGATTTTAAAGCCAAACCTTGAAAGCACAGTCGAAGCATATCACAGACAGAAGGAGCATCAGGTGTGACTGCATGTAGGTGGAAAGTAACTGAATCCATTTGACAGACCTTGGGCCAATTTGAGTCCAAGGTGACAGAGAGAAGGATAGAACACCAGTATAGGAGGTCAGGGGTGAGGCTCTCTAAGTTGACACTTGTAAAGACACAGTTAACTCCTGCATTGCCTTTATTCTTTTGGAAGACATTTTCATTTTATTCTGCAGTGGGAGGCCAGTGGATGATATCAAGCACTGACATAAATATATTTATATTTAAAATGGTAACTGCAATTGCAGAGTGAAAAAACGGGCTGGGGTCTGGGAAGCCAAGTCAGGGACCTCCAGAGTCATTTAGGTAGGTGCTCAGTGCCATCTGACTGTGGTGCAGAAATGGCCCCATGGCATATTGGAATTTCTTTCTCTGATGTACCTTCTTGTATGTTTCTATAACTTCGCCTGATCTATTTCATTGCATATTTTCAAACGTGCACATAGTCTTTAAATAAGCTCTGAACTGCTTAAAAACATACAATAATTCTTTCTCATCTCTCTTCCCTGAATTTAGACACCCTGGGCACTCTCTACTTTCTGAATCAATACATGAGTTGATGAAATGTCACTGTTGTCTAGAAGAGCTGTGTAGTCATAAGTTTGTCATCCTTGAGTTAAAAAACTCATTTGTGTGAACTTTCACATCTTACTCTCATTGAATCTGCTTCTCACTTCTAAAATAGAAATAATAAAACTTGATAAATGGAATCATCAGGATGACTATAAACAATGTATGTCATATGCCTATATAGATGCCTAACCCCTGTAGCCCTTAATGAATGATGTTTATTATTAGCTGTAGTAGATGTGTTTTGTGCTACCCATCTCCCATGAGCCCTGCAAAGAAATATAGCCCAGTCAACTTCTGACCTTTAACATCTGCATTTGTCTGCCAGTGGTTTCTTCATAGAACTTTAAGAGACTTCCCTGCCTAGCTCTGGCATATCTGAAGCACTGAGCAGTAGTAACCAATGACTGATAGGAGCCATTGTACAAATATTCCACTTCCTCACCTTTCAAGAGCGTCACTGCTGAGAATTTGTCCATTGCTAACAGTCTTAGTGTTCTGAGTTCCTGCAGGATTGTGCATCACAAGAGTGGCTGATGCAGGGAGCACAGTTTCTTTTGTTGCTCTCCTACTCCCTCATGGTGTTTTTTTGCACCAAATAAATCATTTTCTTCTTCAGTCCTTGTCAGAGTGTCTACTTCTGGGAAGATGGAGATGTTTCTTTAAATATTTAATGGATATTACAAATGATAAAGTTTGCACATTTTGAAGATTTTGTCAAAACTTTCAGAAGCTTTTGAGACTTGGAAGAAAAATCTAAGGAAATTGCTTTTTACTTGATTATGATTCCAATGAAGATTTTAACCCATATTTTATTGTGCTGTGCATCCATCACACACCCTGCCTTTGTGTCTCGACTACTGGGAAATTTCACCGTCCACTTTTTTAATGATGCTTGGGGCTGAACCCAGGGTTTCATGCACACAATACATCACTGAGCTACAGTCCTGGCCCCATGCAGTCAACCTTTAAGAGCTCTTGTAGCAGGGCCCGCGAGAATGGGAGGCTGGCATATTTCTATTATTCTAGGAAGGATTCCATACCTATCTAGTATTTTCCTCTGGAGATGTTACATAGTAAAATCAAACAGAATTTCCTTCTTGTAACCTCTTCTCTGTTTTCTTCTCCTTGTGCCCTTCTCCGTTCCCAATGATCTCCAGGTGTGGTTTCAGAATCGAAGAGCCAAGTTCCGCAGGAACGAGAGAGCTATGCTGGCCAACAAAAACGCTTCCCTCCTCAAATCCTACTCAGGAGACGTGACTGCTGTGGAGCAGCCCATCGTACCTCGTCCAGCACCCAGGCCCACCGATTATCTCTCCTGGGGGACGGCCTCTCCGTACAGGTGAATGACAGGCCCACTGTCCCTCGCTCTGCCTCCAATGCTCCTCAGCGGTCAGCCACACTCGAAGCTGCTCCTGCAGCTGGCTGATAACTTCCTCCTGGGTTAACTTCTGCAGAGACACTCAACATGCTGACATTCCCACATTGTCACAGGAGATTCCTAGTTGCCCCAGGAGCAGGGTTTGGGGCAGAAGAGGGGCAGGCCATCAGCAATCTCCTCTTGGACTCAGGAACTCTTGCAAAGTTTTCAAAGATGAGGAAGAATTCCAAAGAAAAGATCATTTAATACTAGCTGTGCCCATTGTCCCTCTTGTAAGCATGCCATGCTAAAACTACCCCACATCCAAATTTCAGATTTTTTTTCAGATTTCAAGTAGGGAACTTGATGTATAAGGCTGTAAGTATAGGCTCAGAGGCAAACTTCACAGCAAAATAGATTTTGAATTCAAATAAAAAGAAGCGAGGGCAAACAGAAGAAGGCAGAGAAAGGGAAGGAAAAAGTGGCAGAGAGGGAAGAAAACAAAATCTGTTTTGATCATTTTCATAAACTCAGTTCTTTGTTAGTAGGTGAGGATTTCTTATAATCCTCAATGCTGTCACCTTCTATTGATAACTCTTACCTACCTGCATTAGGTTACTTTGGGGGTCAGTTTGTGTGTGTGTGTTTGTGTGTGTATCTTTTAAATAAAAGTGTGTAATTTACACTAAACTTTTATATGAAAAGGTGAAATGTGTTGAAGAAGCAAACAACAGGGTAGTATTTCAATCACATTGAAAGACAATAAACCTCCATTTATTACACTATTCAGAAATTACAGTTGATGCCATTACAGAAGGTGAGACGTATGCTCAAGAAATTGTGATTGCTCCAAAGTGCCTTTCTTGAAATTTTCCCATAGTACACTAGGAAAGGACTCGTGGCCATGGGCTCTCTCTGGATGGTTTCACCAGAAGTATTCACAAGTTTATTTATTATGCTTTTGTTTACTTTTCTATTCAGGTTAATTATTGCCTGAACAAATTTTAAACTAATCACAGGATATTATACACTAGCTGAAGCTGAACTTTGATATGAAAAACCAATTTATGAAATGCAAATATTTAAAAGTTGATAGATCTCATTAAAGCCCAAAGCTTCACCTAAATGTCCTGTCTGTTCTGAATCAGTTCTTGAGATAAATACCGTAAATGAATTAGTAAATTTCTTTCATATTCCTTGCTTGACACTAGCCTGAATTATCTTTGATCTTGGTATATAGAGATATCATGGCTACCACAGGGAAGTCTTGTTCTGGACCTCCTTTGCCCTCAGCTTTGTTCATTTGGAAAGATTAATTTTCTATGTATGTCCTAGTTAATGTTTTAAAGACCAGTTGAATCTCTGTGACCTCTTCTTTCATAGGATTTGCTTAAAACACATTCTGCAGCCCATTGTGAAGTCACATATTCTTTAATTCTTCTAAAAAGTAAAATACTTCTTTGTTTCCCTCACAAATATCAGTAGTCCAGCAACTCATTGAGTGGCTAGTGAAATGGATATAGTTCAAAGCCTGATGCTTCAAGATCTCTGGTTTGAGTTTGTGCAGGACTAGAAAGCAATACTTCTTTCTCTGCTTGGTACTGCTGAGGAACTTTTCATACCAGCTGCAAACTGTCCAGATGGCTGCCACATGGTCCTTACAGTAGTAGACTGAGCACAACATACACACAAATGGGTGTGAAGTCCGTCCTAAATTAGTATCAAGTCATATAACCTGGACCAAAGCAGAAGTCCAGCCTCCATACTGTGCATCCTCTGTCTTACACATATGGGCATCTAACTGAAGTTATGAACATGGCAGTCTATGTGTGCCTTTTTGGGAAATACTCTATTTTAATTGAAAAGGTTATATAGAAATTTTAGATACATTTTCAAAAATGTCCATGATTCCACATCTTGACATAGTATGTTCATTTTTGAGACTAGAGTTTTCCATATTTTATATAAGATTAGCCTTAGTGTATATATTATTTTGTATTCTTGCTCTTTTCATTTAAAATCATATATCCTATTATGTTTATGGTATGCATATATAACATTTCTTTTAGCAACAGAGTTTGTAAAAACTAATCAAGGCAATATCATAGAAATTGTTTACATTCTGTATTAAGAATAAATTAATCTCCAAATACAAGTAGAAAATCCATGGTTTAAAGTGGTAATTTAATCAATAATATTTTTGATCTAGTATCGACTCGAGTGTTTATATTTGGTTAATTGCTAAAAGGGGCAAAACATTATTCTGTTACGTGCAGGGTTTTCTGCTATGTTTAGAATCAAATATATTATGATGTCACATTTTGAAAAGTGCCAGGAAATATAACTACTATTAAGGAAATATGTAACTAAATCAAATGGTGGAAAACAAAGGAAATGATACCCCTTCTGTGCTGTGGAGAATTAACTTGCTATTCCTGTTGGTACTATAATGTCAAGTTAGTTACTTGATATGTGGCATTCATTAAAAGGCATTTCTCTTGATTAATCCTTGGAACACTGCCGTGTGATAGCTTTATCCTTGCTTCTGTTCCAAAGAAGAAAAGACTGAACACTTGCACAACTTTAAATCTTCAGCAAGTAGAATTAGAACTAGTTCTCATGATCCCTGTTTCTGTCCAGCATATTAGGTCACATGGCCATTTTTTCATTCCAATTAAATATTCCATAAAATTGTAAAGCTATCTTAGCACCACTTTTTGATCCAAGGTGTGTCTGTCTCCCATCAGTGACAAATGTCTGAGAACTCACTCTGGGCATGTGGTATCCCATTGGGGTGGCTGGTGTGTGTGTGGCTTGGTCATGCAAACCAGGGAGAATGACTAGACATTCTGTCACACAGGACATTTTGCTGACTTTCTCAGCTTTTCCCTGGAAGATGGAAACCAAAGCACAAAAGCAGTTATTTGTGTATGCTAAGAATTACAAGCTGAGAAGTCAACACCTTTATTTTTCTGAGTGTCTTTTACATTCAGATGCATTTTACATTGGATAATTTGTCATTCATATTGTGACACTTTTGAAAGTGAAAAGGTATAAGCCAGGATTGTCCTTCACAAGCTGGTACATACAGTTCACGCTAATTATAGCATGTCATGATCTCATTCATTCTCTTGAGCATATTGCAAACAACTGAGTCCCCAGAGCAACAAAGTGTTCTCTAATAAGGAAACTATTGTCCTACCAGGATCTTCTTTATTTACCTATGGCTAGTCGAATGAAGATTACTTTTGGAATGCATATCCCTTGCTTATCCCTGAGCGATTATCCTAAAGTAGATCATGAGAGTGAACCACATACATCCCCGGAATTATTGAGACTCACTAATCTTCTAGTGCTTTGTCTCTTGGGTAGCAGTTATTAAATAAGTCTCGGACATTTGACTATTTAAAAAGTAGCCAAGAAAACCTCCCCCACTTACTTCTCTTCCTGTGAGAGGTAGATGGCCAATGGCCTGGCTCTGCAATATTAATCTTCAGTACCATTTCCAGAGGGAGGGCTGGACTTACCACTGGTGACAAGTGAAAGAGAGGCTGACTATGCTTGTCCAGCTTCCCTCCATCCCTCTCTCGCCTCCTCCTTCTCCACCTTCTCCTCCTCCCCTCCTGATTTGGTCATGGTCATGGTGCTGCCTGACATCTGGTGAACGCATTTGGCTCATTTCTCCCTTTCACACTTTCAAAAATAGATCCTCGTCCCTCCCAAGATGTATATACGAGGGGCTTCATAACGGATTCTAACGGAAGACACTGAAAAGGTAACTTGTCAGATGGGGAGAAGGGTGGCTGCTGGGGGTAGGGATTAAGGGGCAATTAATTATGTTAAGAAAGAGGGCTGAAGTACTAGAAATGTAAACAGTGAGATACTTGACTGGGAAATATTAGAAGAAACTAGAACTATAACAAAATGAGTTCATAAAATTAAGAGTAGTGTGTGTCAGGAGCAGAGCTCCTGAAAGAGGGCTGTGCATGATATCACCTGGGGCCATAATCAGGCCCATGGTGATTCAGTAGGTCTAGGGTGGGCTTCTTTCTAAGTTGATGCTAAACCTGTTCACATGCAGTACACACAATAGTAAGGTTTTAGATTACTAAAACATATGAGGCAGGGATTAGAACTGTGTTCTTTGTGCCTGTTATTTCTGAAGGTAGTCAGATCATTGATTTCTTGTATACTATTGTTTCTGAAAGTGAGCTCATTTGAATTTTCTTGGGCAAAGTAAGTGCACTGAGTGAAGAACACAGATATGAACTCCAACTCTTACACAGGCCAGCAGTTGTAATGCGACGTTTGTGAAAAAGCCTAAGTGAGTGAAACTCCTATTCTTAGGAAGACCCATAGACTTTTTGGAGTGACAGATTTATCTTAAGAGTGAAATTTTAAAGAGCTTGTCATCGTTGGTTCAAAAGGGACACACAGAAAATAACATAAAAATTGAAAATTGAAGCCAAAGATGTTCTTTTTCAAGCTCTCCTTACTTGTTTGTGATTTATAGTATCCATACTATAGGATGACTTGAAAGTAGAGGGGCAGATGTCCCCAAGTTTCCTGGCTCTAGAATCATACTATGAATAGTAGTTTCTGAACTTACTTAGAGTTTGGCAGTTATTTTATCACATTTCCTCCTCACTACACCCTCTCAGAGGAGGTCAAATGGACTGTAAATGATTCGTCCCCAGTGGAAAGCACTCCCACTCTTGGGGTGGGGTCAACATTCTGCTGTCTGTGGCAAGGCTGTGTCTGCTAGGAATCTCCAAATAAGGATGTGGAGCAATTTGAAGCTTACTTAAACTCTGGGGAAGTCCTAGGGCAGGCTTGCTGAATCAGCAGACATAGTGCAAGCATTTTTTAAAAAAAATCTTGAATGTCTCAATGCACTCTACTGAGAGGTCACAGATATAGAAGCTTTACTAAAAATTAAATAAAAATTGTGCCTTAGCCAACTCTATAAACTCAATCCCAAGACTCAGGTCACATCTATACCATGATGACAGGAATACATAGCTCCTTCTCAGAAGATGAGGTCCCCAGGGATGATCTCAGGTTGTCATTAAGCAGGAGCAGGTTTTTGTTTGTCCTCTACTTAATCTGCACAAGCCAGTTAGTTTTAGTCTTATGTATCACAGAAAGTTTAATTCTGAAAAGGAAGAAGTGTCATTTTACATAGTCTGAATGTTCTCACAAATAGGTTGGACACAGCTAATTGCTCTTGTAGATTTCTGTCTTGTAGCATGACATTCCATGGCTGTCTTTCTTTTTCTAAAACAGAACTTGAGAAGTTTCCATGATGTGGTAAACAAGTGGTCATGAACATTTTCTTTTATTGGCAGCCATTTATGGCTCTCAAGCATGTGTTGTCATTTTAGGAAGCAAGTCCTTGTCATCTTCTAATTGCATGATTAAAGCATGACTAAGCTTCTCGTACAGGACTTCTTCATTAATTCTATCTTTTCTGACCTGTAGCTTGTTGCTGGGATGTACAGGGACTGTCCACTGCTTGCCTGTATGGTACATTTAGCTCAAGTTGCAAAACTAGGCCCAAGTCAAACTACTGGAGGAAAATAGAGATAATTTTTTAATATGTGCACAAAATATCCTTAAAATAACTTCGGGTAGTTTCATATATTCTAGACATTTGTTAAGAGGCAGCAAATTAAGCTGGCTCCTCTTCTTTTATCCTATATATTATGTTCATGAAATGCTGAAATTATTCAGATAAGTTTTTGAAAGTTTATATTAAACATATGAAGTGAAAGTTTCCAAATACATGAAGCAAAAATAGTATCATTTATGGGGCATTTAAGAAATTGCAAAATTCATTCACATATATCAACTGCTTTCTTTTCTTCTCATCCCACTAAGTTGAGAGGTTCCCACAGATTGTTGTCACAGACTCAACATGGTACTCCTGTGGTGTTTGTATACCAGCACCACTCCCGAATTGCACAAAGACACTGTTCCCTACCGTGGAATTGCAGGCTATTGTGGAAGTGAAAAATGTCTTGGAGATTATCCAATTTTCTATGCAACATGTGATCCTAATTCCCATTTATTTGTTTTTGAGTAAGAAAATAGAACTCTTCAAATATTACTGCCTGGCCTTCATTAAAGAGAAAAACTCATTATTTCTAAGAAATGTGCTACTATAGTTAAGTCCCCAGGCTAGAATATCTGATGATACAGTCAGTAAATGACACAGTGAAAGCATCATAAATGGTATCTTGTAGACAAAACTGTAATCACATGTGCAGACACTTCTGGGAAACAGTAACGAGAACTTCAGTAAATTAAAATAATATCCTACGGTTCAGATTTCCTTTGCTAAGTATGTGGAATACATCTTTGTTTATCAAAGAAAGGGTAAGATTCTGTTAAGTACAACCTTGCTTGTCAAGAATCTCAAAGCATGGGGAAAAAAAAATCTCTCAGGAAATTAGGCCAAAGACTTAAAAGCACATTATATCACAATGATCTGTATCTTATCACTAGAGAGTTTTTTCCCAATGTTCTGTCATGATGTTTTATCCAAATAATTTTATTCTCAGTTCTAATCATATAATACAAGCACCTCCTAATTCCAGTTTGTCTTCTGTGTGATAGATACTTTAAAGTGGTGATAGTTGTGTACCATTTTTAGAGCTTGATTCTCTCAAGACACCTGGTCAAGAAGCTAATTTTGTTGATCTTATAATAATGACTTAATTCCATTTATTAAATATAATTATATCTTTTCTTAGCTATTAGTTCTTTGCATCCTTGATATATCCTAGAAATGTCTTGACTATAGACTTTATGGATGCATATATTTATAGCAGTCTTGAATGGAAACATGTAATTCTTGATGGTATGTATGTGAGTTTTGAAATACTGTAAATGTCAGTTCTTGGTGCACTCTTAATGAGAAAAATGTTTCCTACTTCTATGAGTTGTCTGGTCTTTTATCTCACTCCTAATTTAAACTTGCCTTAGCTGTGGTATCTTCTGCTTCTGTATTTCTGGAGTCTGTCTCTGTCTCTGTCTCTGTCTCTGTCTCTGTCTCTGTCTCTCTGTCTCTGTCTGTCTCTCTCTCTCTCTCTCTCTCTCACTCTCTCTCTTTCTCATACAGTTACCTACTATTTACACCAATGCTCTAAGACTTTTAAATTAAAGATATATATTTCTGGAAAGACTAAGTGAGCTGGTACTAATTATATTTCTTTAATTTAATTTTGCCAGGTTAATCTCTAGTAACTGAGCTGAAGTATGTTAGGAGTCTAATCATGTGGTATCCAGATAACTGTCAATGATACATTCTATTTGTGGAGTAGCTTTAGTTTTCTCTCTTTCTGATCTTGTCAATTGATCCCCAGAACCACAAAGTGTTGCATAGTTGACAAAATTCCATTGGAATGATGACAAGAGAAAAGTACATGTCATTCCATTTTCAAGTCTATCTCATCCTAGCTCTCAGTTCAAAGAGATTTTGCTAATCTTAGAAACAACTAGAAACATTTTGTTTAATCCAAAAGAGCTGTCTTTTAACTCTTTAGTGTAAAGTAAAAAATAATTCTCAGCTAAGTGTAAAACTATCAAATCATCTTTGCTCAGTGGTTGTCCTAGGTCTTAATTATAATTTCCGATAATGAAAAACAACTTTGAGTTTTTTTCCTGAGCAATAAAGACAATGAAAAACATTTACCTCTGAGGTCAGGAGGGTGGGACATAAACCTTTGATAATTTATTTAGGAAATTTTTAACTTTTTCAAAATAACTGACCCAAAAGGCAATGTATACTTTCAAAGTACTTTTAAAGAGTACTTACTGCCTGGATGATATAGGCAGAAAGAGTTTAAGTTCTGCCCTAGTCAGCTGATGAAGCACCTGGCCTTCAACTTGAGCGAATTTGTTCTCTCACCCCAGAAATAAACCATTACTCTCTATTCAGCATAGCAAATACCTCTCCTTTTTCTGTCTCATTCTTCTCTGCTTTCCGCTGCCCTGCAAAACATGGCCACCCTTTGGCTTCCCCAGAGCCTTAGAGTTAAAAGAAAGCTGGATTTCTCAGAGACCCCGAGGTGCACCATCTCCAGCCCCCTGCCCCTGCCTGCCCCCTTCCTGAGAGTACACCCACGGGGGCACGGACTCACAGCTTTGTGAAACTAATGCCTGTTATTTTCCCTGCTTTCTCCTTTGTCCCTACAGCGCCATGGCTACTTATTCTGCCACATGTGCCAACAATAGCCCTGCACAGGGTGTCAACATGGCCAACAGCATTGCCAACCTGAGACTGAAGGCCAAGGAATATAGTTTACAGAGGAACCAGGTGCCAACAGTCAACTGAGGAAAAACAATAATTAAACAGGCCTAAGAAGAAATCAAAAACCATAAGACACCTATCCTGCTCTGTCATTTCGTCCTCCGCTGGAAAAAAAAAAAAAAGTAAAACAAACAAATAAAACAGAACCAAAATATTGGGACCATGACAGAAAAAAGCAGGAGAGGAGCAAAATGAAAATTAGTTAACAAATGTTCCTTCTCCCTCTGGGATACCACCACCATTTGTTTCTGTATGTGTTTATTTTATTTTTTCCTTCTATTCACGCTTTGCTTAATATACTCTAAGCTTCTTCAGTTAGGTTCGGCCCATTCATCACATAATTTTATGAGGTTTTCAGAAAATCTTCTGCAGCCAAAGAAATTACACATATATATTCAGAACAAATACCTGTAGTCTCCCATCAACCTGTTTAAACCCCAGTGCCTTACTCTGTCATCTTCCCAGTTCTCCTTGGGTGCGTTTGAAAAGCCAAAGTCTCTTTGAAGGATGTGTGCCCGTGATAATTCCCTTTCCCATTTCCGTTTCTGTTGCACATGGTGATGTTTTCGATCAGCTGCTGGAAGAAAAGAATTGTGTATAACTTCTGGTCACTAGTTTGTTGATCAACATGATGGACTGTGTCTGGTTAATTCTAAGCTCTAGATGTACACTCTAGATGTAAATTATGGATTTAAACCTCAAGCTATCTGTTATTATGTCACCAGCAACAACACCCTTTATCTCCGTACATTTGGCCATCTTAAAGATACTTATCTGCGAACAATTTGCTGTCACAGGCTCTTTGATAGAGGAAATATTTTTCACTTGAGAGAGGGAGAGAAATTTCTTTAGGAAAACAAAGACTGGATTTCAAAAGGCATACACTAACATCTTTTTGGTGCCTTAAGGGTAGTCAGATGCACATTTAGATATGTATATATATATACTGCATATATTTATATATTATATATAAAATATTGCAAGCTTGAATTTGCAGTGTCTCAAATCTACAAAAACCAACTTTCACTGCGTCACTACTATTCTTATCTCGACGGTGATAAAATGTAAATTAGGTATCTTGCTGCTTTTTGTATCCTACACAAAATTTTCATTAAGTCCACAGAACAATTGGTAGGGCAGCTTTCTAAGGCCTGTGTTCACATTGGGGCTTTAAAATGAATTAGAAAGTACTAGGCACTGTAAAGATGTCCTTGCATTTGGAGACTGAGCTCTGGTGGAATGCTGATATATTCTGCTCTGTTTTGGGAATTACACTTAGAGAAGAGAAATATATTTAGTTACCTGCTCTTTCTTCACTCAACAGAAAAATATGAAACAAATGTTTAAGCAGAATACACAAAAGTTTGTCGACATTCTAAAACTTTTAAAGGCAACTGTGGAATTTTATTTTTTTAGTATTTTGAAATAAAGCTTAGCATCTAGGACTGGGATTGGGACTGATATTTCTTTGTTTCTATTTCTTTGTTTCCAGCCATACATTTGTAAGTTTCATGGTGGACTTGACCAAACCATTACCATGCAGTGCCTCAATTTACCTATTTATAAAATGGGTTTAACAATACTTACCTACCTCACAGGGGTGTTGTGAGGCTCTATTTCTTTGCTCCTTTATTCTTTCCTGCTTTCTTGGGTGTCCAGCACTCTTTTGCCATGGGAGGAGATCTCTGAAAATGTACAGTGTCAATGGAATCATGTGGTACCTGGGTGCCTTTTTTTTTTTTTTTAGCAAGGAATTGCTACCTTGCTGTACATACTTATAATCTTGTATTTAGAAAGGAGAAATAGGTATATTTTTCAGATATCTCAAAAGTCACAACATTTGACCAAAAAATAATTTAAGACACACAGAATAGACATATTTTTAACTTATATTCTTACCCTGACTAGTGATTAAAAAATTGTTGATCAATTTTGGCCAAATGTACCAACTTTGTACTGTGAGTTACAGGTAAGAAATTTAGGGTATAAAATGCACTTTTAGCACACATTTACATTTTCCTTGGTACATCACAATGAGTGATTATTTTTTCCAGTAAAATAGCCACCATCTGAAAATGTGTTTCAAGTGTTGAGTTTCTATTTCTTCCAGTAGTGAGAAGAAATCCCGTCTTATTATTTTGCTTTCAACTATTGATTCCCTCTTCTCATAATACACTAGCAAAGCATTTCTTAGGAAAAGTTCATGTAGGCTGGGTGAACAACAGCACACGCCACTTGCTTCTAAGGAGTCCCTCAACTCATTTTGTCCCATTAGTTTCTGTGGATCATTAAGTTTCAAAAGAACAGCATGCCCTTACAAACTGAGATATGCTTTGATGTGGGAAGTGAGTGTAATCCAAGAGATTGCTGACTTTGAAGGGTATGCATTTGGAGGAGTATATCTCAAAAGAGAACTTGTGTTATAGGGGAAGGAACAGAAATCACACGTGAAAAGATTTTGCTAAGAAGCAGATAATGTTAGAAGAGAAGCTTAGAAAGGGAGAATCTAGGATGAGAATCATAGAGCTTAGACAGACAACCACTTGTCTGACCAACAGAAAAGCCTGACCCATAAACATGAATAGTGGAGGTAATTATAGTGTTTATCCAGTGTCTTGTATGAACAATACCTGGGAATTGCGTAGAGTAACCAGCGTTGAGCGGTCATATGAATGTTTATTGTTGGTTAGCTAATTCCAAAAACATCTATTATGTGAGCACTGGGTCAAATAGTATACGTGTAGTGGCAGCATTCAGTCTTGTTCATTTATTATTGATTTTTTAAAAGTGCAACTTTGATATGTGATTTGGAGGAACAGCCCTCTGGCTCTTGAGCCAGCTGTCAGAAGAGTCTCAGCGCCACCAACTTCAGGGTCTACTTCTGTTCCATTGTTCACCCAGATGCAAATGAGCCCATATGAACTATCTGTGTCCCCAGTTCCTTCTCAAGGAAGATGCTGATTTGTAGGATACTTGGTAGGTTAGGTTAAACCAGAAGAGGTGACCTAATAAAAAAGGAAATGACATAATGATATAAAGGTCTCATAAGAAATGTAATATGTAAATTATATCTTGCTTTATGATGTAAAATACATTGTTTGCGTTAGAATAGAAATGATTCCTTTTCAATAAAATGAAAGAAGGATACTATAATGTCTTGTGTTATGTACATTGGTGTCTGCTAATGCTTTTCTTTTTAAACTTCAAAACATTTGTTACAATCCAAGATTACATAGATAGTAAAGTAAAAAAAGATAAAGAGACATTTTTAAAATTCAGAATATAATATTCTTTGTTATAAAAGGAAAAGAATCTATTGTTCTTTAAAAGCAAAGAAGATGGTGACATCTTGGTTACTTTTCTCTCAATGCTGAAACAAAATACCTGACCCCCAGTGTTAAGGAAGGAAAGATTTATATAGCTCACAGTCTGTAATCAGCTGGCTCCAAGGCAGGGTGGCATGGCTGAGGGGCAACAGATCATGGGGATGGAAGACAACAAAAATAAGAGCAAAAAGGAGGGGTTCAGCCCTCACATCATCTCCATGCTCTCCTCTTTCATAGATGAGAATGTTTACAAAGTAAGGACCCTGTCCCCTGCTGAGTCACTTAAACTTCTAAACTCCTCAAGTTGATACAGTGTATCAATGATTATAATTCACCCTTTGTCACCTTGGCAACCAGGCACATTTCTTTAAAGCAGCTTCAAGATACAAAGACATGCTTATTCTTATCTTTTCATGACTTGAAAATTATAACACAGGTTTAACAATCTTCAACAACCAAAACCAATTCCATCGACATTATATTACATTAGAACCATAACATTCTGCCATTGGTCTCCCAAACACTTATGAATATCCCTTCATACAAGAGGCATTTAGTCCCTGTCTAAGGGTTGCCCAACTTCTAACACAATGGCAAGCAGAAACGCTGAAAGGATACCCAGAACTTGGAGAAAATTTATTTAATGCCAGATAGTGACAACTAGAAATCAGTTGTTCCTCAAAATGTCAGGTTCTGATCTCTGGTGATCTAGGGCTCATATGGGATAAGCAAAGAGGAGATACAGAGACAGAATGGCCTGTCAATTGGGGATTGGTTTTTATAATATGCATTTCAGTGACTGACTGTGCATCACAATTACCAGTCATTTCTGAGAAACAAAAGTAACAAGAACTTTAACCAGAACCATTACCTGGGCAATTAACAAACTGAAGTGTGCTGGTGGAGGTGAAGGGGCATTGTCTACTTCATTTACCTCCTTTAGTTTCCCTGGCAAATCTTGGTGGGCACGTTGCATGTGATCTTCTGAGACAAGGCTCAACTAGAAGCAATAACAATGGGGCTCTCAGTGGTCCTAGGATGGGCCCTGGCCAAGGTCCCCAAGACTAAAAATTCCACCAGGAGTTTGTGGTTTGTTTCCCTTACCATAGGGTTTCTCTCTAAGTTGACTTTGCCAAGGAACTGAAGGAGTTACTCCGTTCTAGGAGAGTGTCCAATGTGGATACGTCAAATCTTAATCATTTGTAAGGGCCTTACTGGTTATTTGCTATTCTCTTGGAGCAATCATCCATAGAGCTAAGACAAAGTAAATAAGCAAGATAAGCAGCCTAAAAAGGCACAAAAAATCAAGGGGAGTAATGCATTGAGGTATGGAGATATACTGTAAACGGTGCACTTCAGTTTCAGTCATGCATGGACTGTTTAGTGTCTGGAGTGACCAGAGCAGGACTTTGAATGCATTGTCTCTTCAAAGTGAGCCCTGAAGGAGCTGTGTAGCCCAGGTAAATTCTCCAGGACTGTAGGATGGTGAATCTAAAGCTGGATTTCTGAAACTTGTAAAAGTAGTTAATATGCACCTGGGTTATATGTATGTGCAGGAATGCCTACATGTATAGCTGATCTTTTAGTTAAACTGCTGTAGAACTAGTAACAAGCTATTTCTGCAGGGTTATTTTATGTTCTCAACTTTTTAGAAGTTGTGACCTAAATGTAGTTTAGGCCTGTATGCAATTTTTATTTAGTTATCTCTGCTACAAATGTAGGCTCATTTTCACTGCCAGTGCACAAAGGTGGGCCATATCTAGGGATTTTTTTTTTTTTTTTTTTTTTTTTTACAGCAGGACCCTACAAATTTTTATTGCTCTCTCAGCTTGGGTAGGGAGTGCCTTGGGCTAGGCCAAGTAGGTGTAGATGAGCACTAATCTATTATATCCCTTTAAGTGAAGGGAGGTCAGGGATGGTGACACAGACCCTGAAGCATGAGCCGGCTGCAGGATCATGGGTGCCGGTACTGTGGCATGAGCTTGCAGAACATATGGTGAGGGCAGATCTGGCACTGATTAAGAGGGATCTTCTAGGAGTACTGGGTAAAGTTTTTTTCTGACTGGAGAGAGGAGAAAGCTTCAGAGCACCATGTTCCAGAATGGTGGCAGCAGAGAAATTTTTTTCCTCAGAATTGGACTGAGTGCCCAGTGATTCAGGCACTTGACCCCCACAGCCAAGAGAAAGGAAAGTTTATCTACTGCTCCAGTTGGCAGCAGACCTTGGCATCATCCTTGTTATCAGGAGCAAGAGAGAATGAAATGTAGGTGTTTAAAAATATCACAGTTCCATCAGAGAATGGAAAAAGAGAGAGCAAACACTTTCGATTATATGCTGTGTAATTAAAACAGGAAGTGAATGTTTAAATTTAAAAAGTAACAGTCAAATACACATTACCATTAATAACCTGCTAAATAGCTCTCTTCACTTCAATTACCCCACTGCTTTTGCCACCTTGTGAAGCAGTTCTGCAACTCTTGTTTCATGAATGTCTTTATAAAAAATATGGTGAATGCCGCTTCCAAAAACCATCCAACAGAAGGCCAGGCTCCTAAAAACATTGTGTATGTCCTCACCCACTCTGTTTACTGGATCTGGCATTGTGCAACTGTTTGTAATTATTTGCAAAGTCTAAATAACCATACAAGGTACATGTTTTTAATCAATTCAGGACATCGGTGGAGCCACAGCAATACACTAGTGATGCTATTAAAAGGGACTGTCAGAATTGCTTCAGAAAGTGACAGGAAAGATGGCATAAGTGTGTTTGGGATAAGTGGGGGGAATTAACAGTAATATGCCCTTTATTTTAATTTTAAATATTTTTATTTTTTCCTATTCTATAGCCTTTATATTGTTTTTATTTATATTTTGGGTTTCTCATATAAGAGCAACCATGTAACATTTAAGACTGTGTGTCTGATTTTATCACTTAACATCATGGTATCAATAGTACATTCATTTACCTACAAATAACTCAAATTTATCTTTTTTATGGCATAGTCATGCTCCATTATGTATAAGTATCATATTTTATTTTTAAAATTTTTTTTATTTTCAAAGAGAATAAAACCCAACCAAACAAAAAAAGAATAAATCCAATCAAAACAAATCAGTAAGTGACACGGGACTTCAAAACAATAGGAAATCAACAATGGTTACCAGAATGCCTCCTGCTGTCTTCAAAATAGCTGCAGTTACCTTCAGACATAGTAAAAGTCAAGCAATACAGAACAGAATAGAACCAATAAAAACAGAACAATGAATGCAATAAAGGACTTCAAAACAAGAAAATAGTAAATCCAAAATGGCTGCCATACTATGTCTTGTTATGTTTGAAACAGCTTCCCATGCCATTGGATACAATAAAACCCAACCAAACAAAACAGAACAAAACTCAACCCAGTAAAGGCAAGGAAAATGATACAGGACTTCAAAACAAGACAATAGGGAATCAACAATGGCCACCACCATCAGAAGCAGATCCCCCCATAGGTCGTATACTGCTTATTGCCATCCTCTGAATAGATGACCAGACCACTGATTTTAGATGGGCAAAGTCAGTGAAACACTAAGCCCTTATTAGCATTAAACTGTATTCCACCTCAATAGCCACCAACTCAGTCTGTGTGTCTCTGGATCAGCCAGTCACTTATGGGGAGGGGATTTTGGTTCCTTTCCCAGCCTGCACACTGGAAGGAGCTGGAATCTGGCTCTCCCCACAGTGGCCCATGCATGGCACCAATTCATAGGGAGGGCTTGCTTCTTCGTGACTTCTTGTTCTCTTTCCCTGCTATTCCCATAGTGGCCTGCACATGGCACTGATTTGCAAAGAGGCTTCTTGTTCTCTTCCCCTGCAGTCCGTGAATGGTGCTGACTCATGGGAAGAGGCTGCCATCTGACTCTCCCTCAGCAACCAACACAAGGCACCGATTCACAGGAAAGCCTTGCTTCTTGGTGACTTTTGTTGTCTTCCCCCATAGTCCCCAAATGTTGCTACTCACAGGAAAAAGCTGGCATCTCAATTTTAAATATTTTTAAATATTCACTGTAGTTCTTGAATAACATTCACTTGTAGTTCTTCATAAATTATTTTCCAGCCCAGTTGATGTTAATATTTCTCCATTCTCATGGTGGAAAATACCTTTAAACTGTAAATATCAATAAAACCATATTAACTCTTTCATCTTTTTTATGCAAGACGAATGTGACATTTCAAGAAAGTTCATTACTTTTCTTTCTGGAAACACAGCTGGCTTTCTTTTCCCAACATCATTTGCAAGTAGATGGAGTCTCATAGCTAGTTTCTAGCTTACAGATTATGTTAGGCAGAAGTGGTATTTAACAATTTCACTCCTGGCTCAGACCTCCCATTTTCCACTCTCTGCTATTTTTTCCATCTGACTGATTGAGATGACAATCTCTAATCAATTTTGGGAGCCATATAATAAGGTGATAAAGTAGCAATCAATTTGGGATTCATAGAAGTGTAGGAAGAGAAGCTGAAACTCTCGCTGGCCTGGAACCATCCTGGAGTGTTACATGACAGAAAAATGTTCTATTCTGTTGAACCATACGTGACAAGGTATATTTATTACTATAACTCCATATGCCCTAATATACATCCTTCTATTACCTTCTGCTTTTCCATTTTCCTTCTTCCCTTTCTCCCTTCCTTCCTTCCTTTTTTCCTTCCTTCTATTCCTCCGATGAGTATTTAAGGTCAGTGGGATAATATAAACTTTAGAGTTCTTAGCAACTGGGAGAAATCACTGACATTAAACCTCTAAAAATATAACACAGTTGTGTGGTAACTTTTTACTATAA